GTTCGTGGTTACGTCGTTCGGTCGGGCTCGTCAATTGGGCATTGCTCCAAGGGTGCATATCCACAAACATCACTCGTCCGGTCAACATCTAGCTCCGCCCTACATTCTCATCATATTTTCACGCATCGCCTTTGAACTTAGTTTTGTAAACTGCCACGGATGGGGATCGGGGTGGCGAAAAATATTACTTATTCAAAGAAGAAGGATGAAACACTCGTCTGGAATATCCTCGGGGCTACGGAATCGCGGGAGTTTTGTCTGAAGGAGCGAGACGCTATTGCGCCGGCGAAATTAGAGACAGTTGTGACTTCCGTAGGATCTTGGAAGCGCTTGTGGCACGCGTCGCTGAAAATCCGTGCTCTAATATCCGTGCTACCGCACTAGTCTGTTTGTACGTTGAAAGAATCCAGACCGCGGGATCCTACTCCTCTGGTCTCACCATAAGCGCGCACGCTCAGCACTGGTTCGGCAGTTGCCCTGTCACTTGAATGTCATCTTTCATACGATGAGGCTACACTTACTGCTATTCATGCCTTTTCGTTTTTTGTCATGTACCTTTTTTGTTATAGATTTTTTACTTGCCTTTATCGTGTAATATAACATCTGTTCAGTCGACACATAATATAGTGGTAACCTCGTTCGTATTGTAAAAATAAGCACGCGATAATGAGGTACTTTTTTTTATTGGCCACTGTCCTCGTAACACAACAATGGCAGAGGCAGCGGTGCCCTCTGCCGATTGTTGGACTGTTACGAGGTTTTAGGCTCGGTTTCGCCCAGAAAGCAGTCATCTGCCTGCGCAGTAGAAGTGCCTCCGCACGGATCCCAGCATCCCAGGAGGAGGATGGGCTCATCCAATACCCACCTTCTACGTGGTCCAGCTTAGCCGCTGCCGATATCTCTGTCCTTTGCCAAGCCCGACCATGACAGGAGAAAGATTGAGAGAACAGGATGAATAGGAGACAACAACGATAGGTTCCGCGAAGGCTGCTGACTGCTGACATGCTGAGCACATGCTGACAACTTCGGAACACGGGCACACCAACATCCCACGTGGAACTGACATGCTTCTATGCCAGCATGTCAGTTCTGGAACGGGCCACCTTAGATAATTGGAGGGGATAGTTGTTTGCTTCACCCTATGCTTACATGCCCTTCTATTAGGTTGTCCGGAAAGTTCTCAGCGTTTTGTGTTACTATTTTTTGTACATTCATTGCTGATTAAAAACTCATTCTCCCTTGCGTCTCAGTAGTACATCCTGAAGAGAATTTTTTGCGCTATGGTATAATTGCCGTTTCACCATTGCTTGATAAACCCCCTTTTCCCAAGACTTTTTGAAGCATGTCAAAAGAGCAACTTCGGACGATATTTTTCTTCAACTACAAATTGGGTCAAGACAGCTCGACAAATTAACCAGGTGTGGGGGCCCAATAGTGTTGGAGAAAGCACCGTGGTTCGACAAATTTCGTTCTGGAGATTTCAGCCTTGAAGATGAACCTCGTAGCGGTCGACCTAAAGCAATACCTGACGAGGATTTGAAGGCGTTTGTGGAGGCTGACCCATCCCAAACAGTTCAGACGTACAAAAAGGTCACGTGGTCGCCTCTTCGCCCAGGCCCCGGGGCTCAGCTTTCGTATTTTTGGTAACGAGCTAGGAAACGATGACAGCATTCGACAGCGCCAATGCCAAGTGTGTCCGAAGCAGTTGCCTTCTGAGGCACACGCAGCGTCAAAAAATTCAAATTTCGTCGGAATTCACAATAGTTTTGTATACAGAGGCAGAACGTCTTCAAAAAAAATCGAGAGGACGGGTACAGGAACTGGACGCTCCTTCTTCCGAATGACTTTCTCTAAGTAGAGCTCGCTCTACTCGGCTATCAAATAGAACAAAATAGCCGAGCCTGCGTTACCATGGTTTTTTTTTGTTGTGAGCAAGTTTTGAAGGTTTTCTCTGGACATCATTCGTTCTTGTAGTGAAACTAGGAACCTGAAGTCCTCTGATATCTTTTTCCTGACAATAAGTTTCGAACCACCAATAAATATTTATTGCTATACACGACTACTGTTTGAATTTCAGCTTTTCCGGTGAAAGCAGCACCTCCGAGACCCAGGCCACCAACGATGATGCTATCAGACTTCTCACGCCTGGCCATACCAGCAACTGGTACTGATGATGAAGTGAAGACGTCTCTGAAATGACAATGTTAAGGACCGTTACACCCAAACGGGAGCCGTAATTCTAAGACTACTCCAATGGTAAATATATTCGAGGACCGCTGACTTTCCACTAGGAATCAGGCCATTGCGACAGGGGCAAATCCTTTTGGGTATATCCCCAAAAATCGGACGTTAACAACCTCGATGGGCGGACTTAAAGACGTTTTCGCTGCAGAAAAGCCGAGTTCTCTCAGGCAGTGTGTGAGTGTGGCGCCAAGTCATTTTCCACCAACTGTTGTCGCTTGTCCGCTTCAAGACTTTGCGCCATACCCAATTCCCCTGACGTGCCCTAACAAACACACGACCATATGCACAACCAAGATACAATGGATTCATGAGAAAACTGGTTCTCACGACCGCAGTAGGCTTTATTCTTAGCACGCAAGCCGGAGGCGTGTAAAAAGCGATTTCAAGACCTGCAAGAGGCTAGATGGGCGGCTGTGCTGGGGCGGCGGCGATCAATTGCCAAACGTCACTGGTGAAAGGACTGAGTGGGCGTGATCAAACGGCCTTCGCAGACATTGAAGCAATGACTTTGGCGGTATCCGCCCGCACACCCCTCCCCCCTCCCATCTTGCCACTGAAGTTAAGGATGTTTTGAACTCCCAGCGTTGTACGAAGAAGTCTTTCAAATGCCTCTTCGTAGACTGTTGGTACCGAGAAAACATCCGTACTTCACATTATAGTAACTCCTCTCTCACCTGTTCACAGTTAATCCACAGACGGATTCAACTTGACCGAATTGCTTGGCAGATGGGTAGGACCATCCTCCGAAACTGACGAAGTCATTGTAGTTGGCTGGAGTCTCGTTCGACACTCCGCTGCCATATGTGCTCCAGTACCTAGAAATTTTTGGGGAATAGTTGTAAGTCACTGCTTCTTCAGCTAGGAACTAAAAGTATGAGCCAGCTATTCAGAAAAGCTGGCGGCGGTCATTGTACGCTCGCAGCGTTGCGCCAGCGTTCAGACTTCGCGCCGACGCGCTGTAAAGCGCGTCGACTTGAAGATGAATGTATAAAGAATTGTAGCTGTTAAGATACTAAATAAAATTCATGATGAAAATTGTAAATATTTGGGCTGCAACTGCAAGAGCGCTCCAATCTCATAGACGCGAAGCCACAGTCGGGAATCAATTAGCGCCCCTTGGTGGCCAGAGCCAATCGATACCAAGATTGCTTGTCTGAACTACGCTTCCCTACACTTTCTCAAGACATGGCCGGACGGCACCGACCGATTTCCATCTACAACTCCGTTCGCGTCTATAATCGTGGAGGGCTGTTACTGTTCGGGATTGTAGCGCGTTACAGCGCGCCGACGCGAAGCATAAACGCTGCCTCAATTGGCTGATTCGTGAGTCTAGCCGAGACTAGCCCGATGGTGCTCGGGAATGCATTCCTGCGAATGCCACCCCAATGGGTGGGAATCCAAGATCTTATGCAGTAAGGTGTTGTAAGACGTGTAAGTTGAAGGTACCCACCAAAGCATGGCGTTGCTAATGGAAGCTGCTCCGGTAATCTGATTCCATTCGTTGTAGTTTGTGTAAATACCAATTGTCAGACCATATGACTAAAAGCAAATCTTGTTATTTTCCCTGAGTCACACCATATTCTCCTCAAGTTGCACTTACGCTTGCTCGTGTGAGAATGCTGTTAATAAAATTGATATTGAGTGAGCTTGTCATGTACCAGTTGACAGGTGAGGTCACCTGAAACAGTTGTTCTCCATCGGTATTCTTTGCACGTGACTGTGTTTGTAGTCTTCTGTCACTTGAAAGGGCAGTAGGCACGATGGATGAGGGCGGACAGTTGTCGCCAACGTCATTGGTGGAAGAGCTGAGTGGGTGTGGCCGTGTGCCCTCTCGTAGCTCTTTCACCAGTAGCAATCGTGCCCACTGCCTTTGAATAAAATTACGCTAATCACTAATCATTACTGCTTCGCTACATGTTTGTTCCAGCGAGGCCAATGTAGCGATCTTTTGAGTTTATATGGGCGAGGCTCGCATTCATTTTCTTTGCTAAAAATGTCCTTTCCGGCCAACAGGTCAAGGATTTCGCTTTCACTAAGATCAAGTGCACTCATTGTGCACTCATGACATATAAGTATCTTCGATCGGCGGCTCCGTGCCTAGGAGAAAGTCGAAATGAGCCTGTGGTGGAGACGGATTTGCTTACATATCGCACGTTCCATCGAGCTGCACCTCCCCACCCTCCAGGGAGATGGCAGCGGTTACCTCAAATGCTGGCGAAACGCGCCCTGGATGGTACAGTCACATTCTCCCATTGAAAAATTAAGAGTAGTGGCCTGTCAACCCTCTATATTACCAAAAATTAGGCATAGTTTACTGCAGCTCGGCGACGTAAAGCTGTTCTCCTTGGTGACGAATTTGGGTGTTTTCTCCTGAGCAAGTTTCTCAACGCGAAGAAACGATCCGACTCATAAGAACTCAATAATGCAAAATTTGTAGGAATGCAACATTTTGTCACCTAGGGAACTCGAACCATCATCCTGCTGTTCACACTTTCTTTGGTATTCCCAGAAGCGAGCAGCGAAAATGACCTAGACCTTTGTGTTCTCCGTATGAGCCTCCACAACATGTTGGAAGTCGTTTCGAATGTGGAAGATCCCTTTTGTCACCATTTCTCGAGGACTACCACCTCATTTGGGCCACGTTCATTAGTTTAGGGAGTCCTGAATCCAGCTTACTCACTTTTCATCATCTCTTGCTTACCTGAATCCACACGGATTGAACATTAATGTTCGAGTTTCTCAGATTGCTATACATCTCATCGAACTTGCTGAGCACCGGTTTTGGCCGAGTTGGGTTGAGGAGTCATATAGACTTCGGTTCCCATTCCAGCTGAAGAATGAGAATATCTCGGAAAAGCAGATGAAGTGAAGGCAGAGCAAAATGTAAGCATGAGTGAGATATTGAAGTTTCGAACCCTGAAGCATCATGTAGGCACATTTGAGAAGCCTGATCCTCACTATTTCAAGCTTGTTCATTCACACAAATCTTGTCCACTTACCAGCATTGGCGTTTTGGATGTTGGCACATGCGTAAGGATCGATTTGTCCCTGACCAGTAGGAGTGTAGGCTCTGTAAGAAATTGGTCCATGAATAAGGTCAGCAACTCCGACTGAATAAGCAGGGTAAGGGTAGGGAGTACCCTCTGTATCCAGGAGACAAATGGGTCGTAGTTGCGTACTTAGTGCAGCACGTAGCGGTACTCTTCGAAAAATTGGTTTCTGTCAACGAAAAGGCTCGCTATTTGTATTCAGAACCTGATCACACTCAGCTAACCATGGAGCCTGAAGGCCGCGTCACTGGGAAGGAACGGAAATTCCGAGGGGGCTGTCACGTGCGCCCCTAGTCCGCATTTACGACCAGAGTATTAGTTGGAGATTTTGGTCGCGTCCATAGACCCTCCCCCCTCTAAAGGTGGCTTGATACGCCCTCGCCCCCTAGTTCTCTCCGCTATCGTGTTTGGAAGGTCAGAAAGCAAACACCACCCCCACCCTCCCAACGACGAGTAGATACGACTCTCCCCCTTCTACGGTGTTACTGAAACAAGAAAAATCAACTAATCAAGAATTTTCTCTTGAACTATATACGATTGAATACGACCCCCTCCCCGATGATGTGCCCTGACTACGACCCCAGAAGATACAGAATACATATAGCGCGCTAGTATAGGAATAATGAACCCGGTGACGAGGGGAAAATTTTCCAACGGTTCAGAGAAAGTGCCTTTAAAGTTCCCCCTTCGTGGCTACAACTCGCCCCTCTTCCGCGACTCTTCCAACCTCTCCCAGTGGTGCTATACTCTTTTTCTGCTCCAGCTGCCTTGTCCATCGCTGACGGTTTGCTCTAGATAGCCTCATTTCATTTGTGTTCTCAGATCCCGTACGTATTTTATCTGAGCGTTTTGTTGTTTTTTTCGCCCATAAAGCACTGGGTAGCTAAGTGAGCCTTTCCTCGGAATACAGGTCTGACTCAAGAACCACAGATCGTCCTAGTGGGTAGAATTTGATGTACTTGATGAAATGAAATGACTCACCGGATGAAGGCAACATTGTAGAGATTGTTACGCATGCACTGGAATCCTGCAACAGAAACTGGAGCAGACAAGTCGACGGCGTACGCCAAGGAGGCCTGAAGATGTTCCATCCATAGAAGATCGTTTATGGTTCGCGATCAAACTAATAAAACCAAACCGTACCAGTTCAGAGGCTGCCTCCTGTTTCACGGTTTTGACCAGCTGGGCAACTGGACTGGCAAAGCAGCTCAGAACTAAACACGCCAACAGCACAAGTCCTCTCATGTCTGAAATCAAATAGAATACCCAAATAGGACTATACCCAAATAGGACTGCCTCTCTCCAGAATACCGACCAAATAAGAGAGAAAAAAAATCGGAAAAAGTGGGCACGTTTGAGCGTGCGATAAGCATCTATCTTTCTTATCACCACGCAACGGTTGTAAGTCGAGAAGAAAGGAATGAGAGATTTCAGAGTGCCGTAAAATACTATGAGCTATCATCAGTGGAGACTTTTGTCTTGTTGCAAGGATTAGATTACCATAGAATTTTTGACACTGCACTGCTTAGAGGGGGCATTTCGCTAGTTCCATTATGCTCCTGTGAAGCTGCGAAACCATTCGAATGAGCCATTTTGGTCACAGAAATTCCCGGGTCTTCACAATGTGACGTGTAATGTGCTCAGTTGAGTAGCATCGGGTGCCCCCACCAAGCTGAACTAAGCTGTAACTTCCTGTAAAAAAGTTATTTATTTGTCTATGTTTTAGGGTGTGAGTAATGCAGTGGGTAAAGGGGCTTCATGATTCTAGGGTTTTCGCAGAGTCCAAGCTTTTCTCTGCTTTCTCTACCTTATAAGGATCAAGTGGCACTGATTCAAAATGGATCAGGTTCCGTAGGTTGTTTACGAGCTCATTCGAATCTTCTACGAAATTGGGTATCTGTGGTGACGAAGCAAGGACACAATTCAGCTTGGGGAGAGAAAGGCGGGGCATTTTGCCGTTTAGAGCCACCAAGTGGAGAACTGTAAAATCTTGTGAAGGTTTGTCAACTTTGTGAAGCAATGAATACGTCGATGGGAAGTAGCGAAAGTTCAAAGTCCCCCCTCCCCTTCGCTCGCAAGTCAAACTGTCCCAGTAGCCATTTCCACACCAAGAGATCGGTCCACAATACGTTTTATGCCTTAGCAAAAGACAGGAGCATGAGAAGGACAAGGAAGGAATAAAAAAAATCATGAGATCGGCCGGCCAACGATTAAGTCCATCTTTGAGCACTGAAAGCGTTGGGTGGCAGGAGCTATTATCGACAATTTTGCAGCGCTTATGCTCAACTTTATACTCATCAGTTCAATGGCGTAGATAAGTTATCAGTCAGACGTGACTAGGCTATTGTGCCAACATGGCATCACTTTTTCTCGTCAGCAACTTTGTCTGACGCATTTCCGCTTTGTTTGGAAAGGAATAAAGTAATAGAAGCAGGGAAATAATGAACATTGTAAATTATTATTTATGATTAGAAGTCTCTTTCACTTGCCCTTACACTTTCTGGGAGAGAATAATGTTAAGGAAATTAAGATCAAGTGAGCTCGTCATGTACCAGTACGGGAGTCATTACCGAAAACTGTTGCTCTCCATCAGCAATTCTTTCTATGGAACTATTTATTGAGGAGTTCCCTTAATAAATACACTCTAAAGGCATGTGGCGCGATAATTTGCTACTC